GCTTTGTGCAGTAAAATAATAATGTGCTGTACAACATGGTTCCCACAATGTAATGATAGTGTTTTTCAAAAGTATTATTCACAGAGTAGTACATCCAAAATCACTGCATTTTCCCTTTCCTCTAACTTATGAACAACACATTTAGTTTAAAGAGCATTTTCATACAATTGCCTTCCACCAATTTTGTGAGTAAACTGAAGGTCAGTGACTTAGCCGTGCATGAGGGGAACAGTCCAGAGCTCAACCCAGGGCTTCCATGACCAGCCCCTTCCCACCAGGGTGCTTCTACCCACAATTTGCAGTCTCCCGCTAACTTCACCACAAGGAAACAAAGAAACCCTTCGGAGGTTTCTCAAAATAGCAACTTGCATCTCAAAATAGCAACTTGAAGAATTTGGTAAAACTAGAAAGTCACCCTCCACTTTTCAAAGAGTGAAAAACTTTGAATGTTACCTCTTCTCTAATTGTCCAAACGCCTTCAATGGGGCCCTAGTCAATTACGAAGCAGCGCCTGAGATGGACCACTTATTGACAAGAAAACATGGACGTCTATGCCTGATTATAATGCCACTGCGCACCCCACTGCAGGCAATGGCCACTGAATCACATCCTGGGGCCAATCGCTTAGAGCTCAGCGTCAAATTATATTGCAAGCTGTCCATCTCACCCTCCTTTTCTAATTAATTTTCTATAAAAAGAGACGTTTAGCCCTAGCCGATTTGGTTCATTGGATAGAGCTTCGGCCTGCAGACTAAAGAGTCCCAGGTTCTCCGAAACCGGTTTGGCTCAGTGGATAGAGCGTCGGCCTGCGGACTGAAGGGTCCCAGGTTCGATTCCGGTCAGGGGCATGTACCTGGGTTGCGGGCACATCCCCAGTAGGAGATGTGTAGGAGGCAGCTGATCGATGTTTCTAACTCTCTATCTCTCTCCCTTCCTCTCTGTAAAAAATCAATAAAATATATTTTTTTAAAAAAAGAGTCCCAGGTTTGAGTCCAGTCAAGGACACAGGTGGGGGTTGCGGGCTCCATCCCCAGTAGGGGGCATACGGGAGGCAGCCAATCCATGATTCTCTCTCATCATTGATGTTTCTACCTCTCTCTCCCTCCCCCTTCCTCTCAAAAAGCAAATATATGTCACAGGCCTTCAGCTTACTCAGAAAAATCACTGGAAGGCAATTTTGTGTATACACACAGACACAGAGAGAGATGTTCAGAGTCTATTTCCAGCTGTGACCAGTGACAGCGTTATCCCCGCAGCGTTCTATCTGGAGGGAGAGTGAGCGGCTCCTGCAGGAAGTGCAGAGGACTGGCAGCTGCTTTACTCTGTGGTTCCACCAGAGAAAAGACTGAAAGCCCTTGGCACTTTGAGTGAATGGGAACTTCTTACCTCTAGCAGAAGTCACTGCACCCAATACAGCTGCGGCGTTCTCAGAACACGGCGTCCTATTAAAATTCAACACCAAGAGTCCCGCAGAGGGAGAAGGGCGGCCAGCTGGACAGGGCACCTGCGGACCAGGGGCCGCTCCCCCGCCCCCTGCCCGTGCGTCACCTTCTGCAGCCGAGTCAGCTACCCGAGGGGAAACTGCACCCGGGCTTTCTATGCAGGAACGTCTTCATCCTCCAAGCGGCCCAGGACTTCCCCCTTCACAGGAAGATACAATGACCACTCCCCCCAAAAGACAAGTCATCCTCTCGCAACTCCACTGCGGTCAGGTTTCTCCAGCCTCCAGCCCCCACCCCGGGGGTCCCTCCTGCCAGTTCCGGATGGTCCCTGAGTCTCGGCCCCATCGGCATGTGCCCCGGGGAGGAAGTCACCCGCTGAAAACGGGGTCGCTCCCAGGGCCTGACCCATTCCCTGCACTGTGCCCACGAGTCAGGCTACCGGACCCACTAACTGCACTGTGTGGAAACGGGGCACCACGCAAAAGTTGGGGGGACATCCCAAGCCCTTTATCACCAGGCAGAGACCCCCGCTTCCCTGCCCTCCCTCGCCCCGCGCCCACAACTCACTCAGCCGCGATCCGCGGTGCCTCTAAGTGCCTTTCTCCTTCCCCAGGCGCTCTGACCCCGCCCACCGGGAGGCATGACACACCCACACCCACCGTGATTGGTCGTGAGGAGCGCGAAGGCCTCCATTGGCGGAAGTGCCTCCCCTGCCTTAGCTACTCCCAGCGCCAACTAGGTCCAGAGAGGCAGGGTGCACGCCTGCTACTACACCCCCTCGCCCCGCGCCCCAACCTGACCAGAGCTGCATGTGGTATGTGCTGGCATGTGTTCACCTGTCCTGAGTTGTACGCCTGCCGAAACCCACAACCTCCCGAGGCACCGCCACAGCTTCCCGCCCCACATGCTTGTCGGGGCAGAGACCGGTTTCTCCTAAAGTTTAGTACCTAAACTGTTCTGGGGTCGAGTTGACCGTTCATGGCCTGTATGTCCGGGCTTTGTGGACAGGCCTTGGAAAGACCTCCTACCTGTGCTGAAAACCATGGATGTTGGTGGGGTGTGGAGGTTGTGGGCCACAAAAGAGAAGAAAGAAAAGAGGAGGGCGGGCGGGCTGAGAAGAAATCCATGAGGACGGAGGGACTTGATGCACTGGGCTCCATGGGCCGAATGCGCTCTGATGACGCTTCCCACTTGCACACTGGATGTGGTATGTATGTATTCAGATGATATGGTATGTGTGTATTCGAGGGAGGGGGACCGGGCCCTCACAACGTGTGCCGCGCGGGCGACCGCGACGGGGCCGAGTCAGCGGTGCCGGCCGCTGGCTGACCTTGAGAGTT